CGTGGAGAGACGAGGCGGTTTCCCGATCATTGGGGCTCAGACATCCTTGTACTTGTCTACAAAAAGGGATTTAAGATAAGATGCGAGAGCTACCGTCTTATCGACGTGGCTGCTAAAAACGTCGCTAATGTTTTTTTCATACAGTCCCAGTCTGTGCATGACTCTAAGACGCAGCCCAACTAAGCCGAACTTCGCGCTGGGCGTGGATGTGTGGACCAGATATTTACACTCAGGCGCACTCTAGAATTTTACCATAGTCACCAGCAACCGACGGCCGTCTGCATTGTCGACTTCGCCGCCGCGTTTTGTTCCGTCTATTGCGAGTCCCTGTGGCGAATAATGAGGCTAAATGGGGTTTCGAACGAAATCATTGCCACGATAAAGGACTACTATCGCCCCACCACCGCACGAGTTCTGGTATACAAAACTCTCTCAATCATTCGATATTCGGTCTGTTGTTCCACAACGCTATATTCTGTCACCCATTCTATTCAGCTAATTTATTGATTGGATTCTTGGGGAGGCCCTACTTGAATAGGACGGTGCTGAATTTGTACCCTGACGCCGGTTGACTGATCTTGAGTATGCCGATGACATCGCTTTACTAGCTTAAAGCTTTGGCAAGCTACAGTCTGTGGTATAACGCGTGAATGAAATCGTTATGTTAGTTGGCTTGTCCAGAAATACCAGGAGGACTGTTTTCTTCCCGAGCTCTATACTTGGCCAAGAGGTGGTATCCCTGGGGATAAATGACCGTCAAGTTGAGGAAGTAGACATCTTTCAATACCTCGTTGCGAGGCTGCCAAATGAACAGAGTAAGGACGCCATTGTCCCCCTGAATCGAGGCTGCTCGCCGAGTTTTCTCAGTTCTCGGACAGCGCCTGTGGATTCGACACGACACCTTCATCGCCATGAAGATCCGTGTGTATCATGCATCTGTCCGGCCAGTCCTCCTCTATGGATGTAAATGCTGGGCTTCACACGAGGCAGATAAACGAAGACTGGAGGCATTTGAATACCGGTGCCTAAAGACCATCCTTCGAGTGAAGTATACAGACTTTATCTCAAATGAGACAGTCCGCACTCACCGTGATAGTAAATTTAGACATTTGACATAAATGCCGACCTTAGATCAAGTGGAATTTTTATCAAAAATATTTGTTTGCTTCTTCCCAGGTACTGACCAGGCATTTCTCAGTTCCGTGTGCATAGGCAATGTGATAAAGTATAATGTTTCCTTTATCTTTGTCTGTTTTAGGTCGCAGTAATTTCCGTGTACAGTTACATCTTCTGCCAGATAATCGGCGCTCAATATGTGAATCAAAATGATACAGCCAATGTCACCAGCCATGAAAATGCTCTGCCTGTGCCAATCTTTAGCGTCTTCTACTTCATGTTCCTCATAGGATGGCTGAAAGTAAGTAATCTGAATGGCATTACTGACAAAATCAAGGGAGACTGGAATGGCCATTTCTAGCGTATAAGCCATCATCAGCCAATAATTTCCAACCCCAGGTGTTGTGGTATCCGAGGCCCCACCCATGACCTTGCTAGCTAGAAGAACAAGGCAATAACCACTGCACCACAGGCTCGTTGCTTTGCGGTTCCCATGAGGAATGTAAAAATTGCAACTGGACGCTCACCGATCAGGCTCGTAACTCTGTATCCCCTGCAAAGAAGACAAAGGCGAAATCATAGAGACAGTACTTTTTTTTGCCTGAACCTTCTGCCTCTATATGTCACTTGATAAACGGCACCAGGCTGGTTATATACATCCAGTCGTTATTTTATTTGCATGATCCAAGAAAATATGGTAGCTGTCGGGTTATGGGTGATACCCACGACGAGCTCTGCAGCCATACGTTACGTTGCTCCTAACACTTTTTTGTACGTAGGGGGTGCCAGAGCATTTGTGGCTTTCTTCCGTTTGTTACCCGTGGGCGCCTACGGAGGCAGCGGCTGAAGAAGCTTTCCGGGTATCCACTCCTTGCCAATTTATCCCGAAGATGCCGCAGTTATCACACTCGTCCCTCAGGTTCACTGTAGTGTATTAAAGTGCTCTAATACAGCTGCGTTTATATATCATTATACAGAGCAGACCGGGCGACGACTTAGCTCACGATTTATTAAGCACAAACGGGCAGTGCAGAAAGGCGACCCAAATTCCCAGATTGCTACCCACAACACGGAGAAAGGGCATGAATTCACTTTCACGGGTATGCGAATAATGGCATGAGCCACTAAAAGACGGGACGAGAACTAGTGGAGGCCTGGATATCTAGCTCAAGCTCCATCAGCATACATTTTGGTATACCCCTTGCTGTCACGCCCTGCTTTTGCGTGGTCAAGGAGCACGATCCAGTTACCACCCAAGAACGTACACCGTGAAAACGACGTTAGACGGCATGGCATGGACTCAGCCTATCAAGAATGCTACCCCATCCGCACTACCCTCATTCCTCCATTTTTTCTCCAGCTTTAATATGAAACACGTCAATATTTACTGTCACTGTCTCCGATAATGACCTCTTTTACTAAGCCGAACACACAGACAAAGGGAATTATGCCTTGGTGATCTTTGCGACAAAAACCTGGAGCTCGCATATTCGCTCCATTCCTGTATCCCTTGTCTATATCCTCATTCAGGGTTAGCATCTATCAAAGTGCATGTACTTGCTATATCGTAAGCTGTCACCAAGAGGCCCTCTGTCGTGTAGTTTGCTTTATAGTATATAAAAAAGAAACAAAGTAGTTAACCGAACAAAATCTTTTTTAACGTTAATTGTTCTCTTCACCTGTCGAGGTCTTGGATCTGTCGCTGTTATATTTATCTCGATCATTTAGGTCGCCTTGTGTGTGATGAACCCCTTCGGTGATGACTACGAGGACTTCGAATGCTGCAAGATTCTAGACTTCAACTTGAATGTCACTTACAGGTCCGTTCTACTGGACGAGGCGACCTACCCAGAGAGCCTGAAAACGGCAACATTTAAACCCAGACCGATGAAGGGCGCCGAGAGCGATAATTTACAGGACTTTCTCGATAACGTCACTAGGGAAATTCAGGAGACAGACTTCAATGAGGATGCGAACGAGTAAGTTTGCAACGATTACAACAAAAATGACAAAAAAGATATTCACTATACTGCCAATAGAGGAAAGATTTGCTGGTATCAGGTAGTCTTCAGAGACATTTCTATAGGTAGTATTAATTGTGTGAATTTCTGTGATGGCATCATCTGAGTAAGAAGTAGCCCGAAGTCGGATGTACATGGCAGACGTTAATATCGCTAGTGGAAACGGCATTTCTGCATGAAAAAATATTGCGTCAGAGTTGGTAAATAAAACAGATCACACAGGAAAACGTCAAAAGTGCAGGAATATGACTCCACAGAACAACTACTTGGAAGCTATGCTATTTTTGATCATTGTTACGATGGAAATACATGCTTAAACGTGCATATAATGACACAGCTTTCTTCTCAGTCAATATAGATATATATATATACTCCCCTGTCAAACAGCTATGAGAGCGAGCAACCGTGAATGAGGTCAGAGCTCCATAAGTCTTTAATACGGGACGTCACGTTTCTGATAGAAGCGAACGGGTCAGCTCCACGAAGCCTATCACAATGAGAAGATGCGACCGCAGGAGAAAGAAATATTGACCTGGTGTTCAGAATTCGCGCTGGAACCAACCATCAGAGATACGGATGGTTAAATCACGGTAAGTACTAACTCGAATGAAGACCGCCAAGTCACCATCGCATCAAACACGAACCCCAGTGGTGATTACACGAGTTGCTAATAATAGTACGCATGTGGTCGCGTGGCCACAGCAGACTACAAATACTGTGCACCCATTACCCTTTTACCGTTTTCTCCGATTGATTCGGATGATGGGTTCGGATGATGGATTCGGACGAGAATGAGAGATGTGACGCCAATAAACTTCTTGTTCTAGCGATTGCATCTAATGCTTGTGGAATTCATATCACGCGCGGTTCCTTTCAAACAATTTATAATTATATGTGCACTACAGGCAACTATAGTTGCATTCATGAAACTAGTAATAGTTAAATTAATCCGTTAAGTTCGTCTGCTTAAATAACGGCATTGAAAATCACTTACAAAGCCTTGTATAAGGGATATCAAAAAAACGACTTTTGGGTTCTGTAAGGAAATGGGTTGGTAGTGATTCGCTATATCATTTCGTCCAATTGCTAGAGACTCTTTCTGCTCAAATGACCAAATAGTATTCACGTCACATGCTGTTTCCTGTGATAGCAGAAAAAGTTGCAGTGCTTCATGAGGCTTATTTGAAGAAATAGCTGGACCAAACACGGATTCATGAGTGGTTTGCACAGTTAAGAAATGGCTACATGTCACTTGATGAGAGGACAGTTCGGGTAACTCATTAATGAGCAGAATAGACAAAAATGTTCAAAAGATGAGCCATGCGATTTTAGTTGCTAAGACCGGCATGAAAACGGTCATTGACCTCTTCTCTTGCCTGATGCGATTTCTCATTATTTCAATGAATGAAGAAAAACTTAAAGATAAAACGTTTTCAAAAAAGTAGAATCGGTCAAGAAAAGGTCGTTGGATGCATTTAACGTCATTAATTCAGAAGACTCTAAAAATGTTTTGGAGTGAAAAACCCGGTGGGACAAGCGCATACCATATGCCGATAGTATTTCGAAGGGAATTAATGTTTTAAGAGGACATTTGTAAATTAGAAAAGTATGACAGATGTCTGTGGGATGGGACGCAGGTAGTTGATGCGACGTGAGCCTGCACCTACGCGTGCCAACACGTTCCCTCCTAACCCACATGTGTGGCACCGGTTATGGCCTGAATAACAACCGTCGTGCCCTGATTTGGCCACGTGTTGGCCTCACGCACCAAGCAGCCCGTTTACGTGGCACACAAGAACTTCCGGTTGGCAGCGCGTGCTCAGTTGTCTGGTTGTTTATGCGCCGGCGAAATGGCATTTAATGGAAAGTGGGATGTAAACCACTCTGTCCACATGATAACTGGTCGTTTGCAAACTCAATACTTCCAGGGACTTTAATTTGAATGCATGTTTCGCAGATTAAAGTCACGTCTCAGAAAATGTTATTCGAAATTATGAAATATATTTTCATTTAGGAAGGATAACTTATATTTTTGGAATATTTATCAAACTACAGGATCGCCCAAAAAACTGTTCAGAAACGACAGGTTGTCTGTACTTCTTTTAGGATGCTAATGACATCCGCACTTCATAACATCTTAATACTAAATACTGCACACGCTTTGTAAAGTTACAACGTTTATTGATAAATTCAAATATATTTTACAATAGAAATGCACAAACAAATATTTATAGCATTAGATTAGTTGCAAATCAAATCGTTCTCGAATTCTAAACTTGACTAATCATTTCCTCCGGTGATAAAAAAGGAACATGCCACGGTATATCGAGCTGAAAATGTATCGGAGTTTGCAATCGTTTTTACAACCGAAAGTTAACATTTATTTATGTATAAGTTCAAGGAACATCTCATTTGCCATCCAGCTCATTCATAGATCCCGTTCGGAAGGCGTTCTATGGAACTCTTAAAAGATTGCATAGTTTTTGTGTTTGTTCTAAACATTAAAGGCTACATTGACAAATAAACATAAGTGATACTTGATGGATTGTTATTTCCTGATCTTAAAGATATCATGAATAGAACCCTTTTTAACATCGAAAATTACCTTCTTTTAAAGTACTTTATATTTTTTTAACAAAATAAGCGAAAAACAACTTTGATGCACGTGTTACATAAGGCATCATCGACCTTACAAGGGAATCGAGGCATATTAATTGTCTTTGATTGTATTGATTTTGCAGGTGGTTCAATGAAGTGCGTCCGATAAAAGGCATTATGTTGTACAATAGTCAGTATTACAGCCCTCCTTAATTAATCCCCCCGGTAAAGATGTCGACATGGCTCCGAAAGCATGTCATGCGATCAGAAAAACCGGAAAAGCAGATGTTTTTTCGTCGAATAACAAAATAATAAGGTAAGGCGTATGTTTAGGGTAAGGAACAAGGTTAGGATTAAGATTCATTAGTCAGTATCAGTATCAGTCAGTATATTTGGAGTGAATGACCGAAGGCCTTAAAAACTTCATTGAAACGGTACAGGAATGCATAAAGTTTTGTGAAATATGCAAAAATTGTTACAGATCGCTTTTTTGTGCAAAAGTGCGTAAAACTATGGTGGAAATATGTATTGTTGAGAAGCTGAGGCGTTTGCGGTATGGCAGCGTACGAAAAGTTCACTGTATACCCAGTATTCGTCTGGCAATCTCTAGTGTAAAATAAAAACTCTATTGAAATCAAACGAGTCGTATGTTTGTTTGTAGTGCTGTTTGTAGTGTTTGTCGTCACTTACGTTAGGTGGCTGTTGGGCTTTAACAGATAATTATCCAAACGTCTCTTGAAGACTTTCACAGCGTTGAATGCACAATAGACTCTGGCAAGGCGTTCCACTGTCGAA